GGTTCTCAGGGAATTTCTCGGCCAAGCCCAGTGGGTCGAACTGGTATTCACCCCATCCATGAAGCTTGCTGCCAGCAATTCCTCCTGCAAAGGTCTTCTCAGCCCGGCGACCGACTCGGCTGGCGCGTTGAGCAACTCCAGAAGCCACGGCGCCGGCACCGACCAAAGGCAGCATAGCAGAGCCATATCCACTAGTTGGAGTGGCCGCACTCTGTGCTCCTCGCAGTCCCTTCACCACGTCATGGTGGCCCACCTGGGAAGATTGGCCAACAAAGCCCAGGCCGGCCACTGCGCATGCGCCAGCACCAAGGGCGATGGCGCGGAGTGGGAGCTGCTTCCTCTCTGCCATTGCTTCTGATGTGGTCTGAGCACTTGAGGAGCAACCCTGCGGTCATTCAACAGCATTCAAATACAGAAACTCGCAAGAATCAAAAACTACTCCGCACTTGGTTTCGCTTCATGACTTTCAGAGCCTGGAATCAGTTGAATGATTGCCTTCCCTCAAACTTACGTGAGTGCATCGACACATCGATTGTTTCTGTGTGATGATATGTGAATGTGATGACATCCTGTTGTTTCAATCAGTATGTCATGTTTAATCTATTGGTGTATAATGGTGTACATATATATATATATATATACATATATATATATACACGTGTGTACACCAATAAATCACAGCGCGCGTGAGTGGAAACAAGTGGCTTAAAGCATCACAAGAAATGTGTCAAACTGCTTCAAGATACCAGAATTGAATGATGACATTCCATCATGATGACACAATCTTATCATCGTCGACAAAGGAAGTCAGCAACCAGCAGTGCAAAGCATTGACGTTTTGCCTCTTTGGCAGTCTCGGGAACAGTAGAACACTGTCAACAAAAAGTACTAATCTCACTGAGGAATGAATGGGAAGTGGTTCGCACCGAATGCGACGCCCTGGGTGAGGGCACCACCAACTGCCAGCATGGCCAATCTTCCATTCTTAAGCTCCTTCATCTTCATGCTCTCCATGCCCTCAGCAGAGGAAGGAGCAAAACCTCTTAAGCCAAGGTCTCCCGCATTCTCAGTGGTCAATTTCTCAAAGGCCAAACCGAGCTGCTTGAATCGGACAGACTCAATGGCACCCACTGCACACATCAGCCACCACATAGGTCCCTCGCCAAGGCCAGGGCCAATCAGCTTGTTGTGGGCGTTGATGAAGTCAAGGCTAGAATCGGTCAAAGGCTCAATTGGCAGGCGAATTGCGTCAGGAACAATCAAGCCAACATAGGCAAGCATAGCTACGCGTCCATGCTTCAACTCAGCTTCACGGAACCAAGCCAGGTTCTCAGGGAATTTCTCGGCCAAGCCCAGTGGGTCGAACTGGTATTCACCCCATCCATGAAGCTTGCTGCCAGCAATTCCTCCTGCAAAGGTCTTCTCAGCCCGGCGACCGACTCGGCTGGCGCGTTGAGCAACTCCAGCAGCCACGGCGCCGGCACCGACCAAAGGCAGCATAGCAGAGCCATATCCACTAGTTGGAGTGGCCGCACTCTGTGCTCCTCGCAGTCCCTTCACCACGTCATGGTGGCCCACCTGGGAAGATTGGCCAACAAAGCCCAGGCCGGCCACTGCGCATGCGCCAGCACCAAGGGCGATGGCGCGGAGTGGGAGCTGCTTCCTCTCTGCCATTGCTTCTGATGTGGTCTGAGCACCTAAATGGCTTTCAGGTGCCGTCAGCTTGGCCTGAGCAATAGCCAGGTTCTCTCAGATCCCTGCCCACAATAGTATGCAAAAACTTACAAAAACAAAGTGCAACAGCCTGGCAACAGCTCGAAATTATGTTGTCATATGCAGGAAAATCAGCAGGAAGGTTTATTTCGACACACCCAACTCGGCTGAGCCCTCTGCATACTTCTCGTAGTGGTCCCTTGTGATCGTCAAGAAATCAGCATTCTCCTGGAAACAAAGATTTCCAAACAGGGGCTTCTGATGCGTAGGATTTGTCAGGATTCTGTCCAGGACCCCAAAGGGAAGAGCTCGGCAACATAGACAACAAGTAAGCCTAACAAACACCGTACTTTAAGTTTAAGCATGTTTAAGCTTCAAAGAATTTTGCCTCACCCAATTTCACTTATGCTTTGCGCTAGAGACTTGCATACCAAGGGAATTTCATGCATCAAGCTGCCCTTTGCATCCATCTAATCGCCGATGACCTATGGCCTCTTCAATATATGTTCACGTTTTGGCCTGAGTGCCCAACGCAGGTAATGATCGTCGCAGCACGAGGGGCATCATCTTGCAATGCCAACTCACCGAAGCCACTGCCCTGAAAGGTGTGAACGGATCTGTGTGAAAATCTGTTCAGCTGCCATGATGGTGAATCCGCAAGAGTGTTGGGCCAACAAGGATGGGAAAGGTATCACCATTAAGTGGCTGGTTCTGTAGTATCAGGCGATGACGTGCCTTCTGCAGGTAGAAAGGTGACTGAAGAGGTCGATTGGGACAAGTGCACCTGCGTGAAGCTGAGACAAACATGACAAACCGATCTGTAAGGGCCCCTGTGGGGGGCGACTCAGTTGCTTTAGCTGCTCGTGATTCCATTCAGCCGTCCCGAAATTCCATGGCGGGGGTTGTAAAGGCTCAAGATTCTCAAGGAACAACACCATGTGCAACATGTCTCGATGGCTCAAAAGACAACTCGTTGCCTGCCAAGAGATGCCAAAAGAAAGCGCCAATCTCTTGTTGTTTATTATAAATGTTGTTTAATGAGTTTAATGTGCCAGTAGTTCTCATCCCTCCTTCCCACCCCACCCAACTGGACCTTTGTGGGTGGATCCCACTGGGGCACGTTGGCTCTGGAACCTGCAGCGGTGCTTGACTGCGCTTGATTGAGCTGACCAAACAGGTCAAGACCCTGGACCTCAGCCGCATAAACTGAGTTAACAAATGTGCTTTGGTGCTCCTATGATAGATCATGCAAGTTGTACGACCTGAGTCTGAATTGCTTGGGCTGAATTTTTGATTGCCGATAGGGCAGGAGTGACCAAAGATAAGTCAAGCATATATTCAAACGAATGCTCACAGCGCCTATTCCACTTGCGAGTTGCGCTACAACTAGGAAAGTTGCTGCATGGTGCAGGCATGTGCAGGCAACGGCCTTCTTTTCAGGTGATACCTGAACGCTCACGCTGCCGAGGAGGATGATGTAGTACCTCAGGCTCCCAAAACAAATGGGAGAAAATGCTTCTTGCCGAACCCAGCTCTCCTCACGCTCAGTTTCAATATGTTTCAATCCAAGTGGCTTGTCACCGCGGTCACCAACCTTGAAGATGGTGTCACCCTTCTCATGGGATTGGAGGCTCATCACTTTGCACCTGAGCACAAAAAATCATTCTGCACATCACCGTCACCCATCCATGGCCATGACTGATGCTTCATTCATACTCATACATACTACTTTTTTTCATACTTATTTAATTTAACACTCCTTAAGACTTTGAAAGCTCCAATCCAAGGGTTTCGCTTCAAAGAACCCCAAAGACCTGGATCGATCCCGATTCCACAATATCCACCAAACAATTCCATGTTCAAGCAGCCAGAACAGAGAAACCTCGGAGTCCCTTGGGTGCCATCGGGTTGTCGTACACCAGGGATCCCAAGGATGCACCTGGACCCCTCCCTGTCAAGGCACAGGGTCCGCTGTTGAAATTTGTCCAACGTCTTCAGGAACTCGATCTCCCTTGCCTCAGAAGTGGCCCGGAAGGTTGTAGACTGCAGCCCATGGTTGGGGGATATCGTGTGGGTGGTTAAAGATTCCCCAGCATATCATTCAAAAGCATTCAAAGCCATAGGCCATGGGATGCCATGCGTTCTGCTACTGTAACTTCTTCAGTTGGAGGCCAAAGTTGAAGTACTATTATTCTATTCTGCTGCATAATGTCTTTCCAGGGTCAGCCATTGGTGATTGGTGCGGCCGATGCATGAAATGAATCCAAGGAGAATCAATTGATCTGGCAGAACCATGACAGTGACTGCCTGCTCTGCTTGGCAATGACTGCTTTGGACCAGGACGAGGTGGACCACTCACTATAAGTGATGTTTTTTATGTTTTTTTCATTGATTCACTGTACGATCCACTCAGTTCACAAGTCCATATCTATTGGATTCTGTTTGTATCTTTTGGTATTCCCATCCGATCCATCCGCATCTGTTCGTCTGGCTCCCTGGGGCTGCCACTGGACCCTCCAAGAAGTCCACAATGGCTTGGATCTGTTCCTGTGCTCGCACGTTTTACTCAACAAAAACGAAGCCAAAGGTCCTACATGGTTCTACAGTATCAACTGTCTGTAAGGGATGTGGTTGTGGTTAGGCTAGACTCTGAGTAAAACCATGACTTGAAGCGTCATCCATGCACAAATATGTGAAGCTGTTGTCAATATTGTTTGATCTTAATACGAAATGGTATGTATACGTAGTATTATATAGTATTAACATTCAAGGCCATATCAATGCCTCATATGCCTGGATGTCTTAAGCTCATGGACACGGATCTTGATAACCTATGGACTCGGATGTTCTTTGTTGATAATCAGCAGAGCCGCTGGGGTCACACTGTTTTGCCTCGGCTTCCAGGACCTTTTCTCCTGGCACGTCTTATCTTCTCCCTGGGGTGGGCAGCTGAATTGAAGTCATGCCATCGCTGCTCGGTCTTATCACGCGGGCCCTGCAGGTGATATCAACAATACAACAATTAAAATACAATAAACAACCAACAGTTTCAAAATGTTTCAAAGCAGTCCTAGAATGGCTCCACGATTCTCCAAGTATGTCGAAACTGACAGCTGGCTGTTCACAATTCACGCTTGCCCTTTCGAGCTGAGGTCCGTGTTTTGGACGCATCTTTTCTTGCTAGGATGATGTCGTCCTCGTCTTCATCATCCAATTCATCATACAACTGAGTTTTCCTTTGTTCAACAAAACGTGCACGTGTCCATTCAACAAAGCGAGGGCCGTCTTGACCCATCATGGCTTTGATCTTGCGATAGGTATACCTCAACCGCAGCAAGTCATGCTGGTCTCATGACATCATCTTAACTTAAGTGACAAGTATTGGACCGACAAATACTGTAATAAAAAAGTGCCATCACCAGCACATGCAAAACAAGATGCAACTTGCATTATCGAATTATCTTAAAGCAAAACCCCACAAATATGTGTTCACATGAAAACTTAGCGGCAATGCGGCATTGGTGGTATGTTATGATGAGTGTTGTTATCAAGATACGAGTCACAATCACCACCATCCCGAAATACTGATTCTCAAACGCAAAGAGTACAGTATCAATTGATCAAGAAGTGTCCAAGAAGTGTCCAAGAAGTGTCCAAGAAGTGTCCAAGAAGTGTCCAAGATAAACTTCCAAGATACTCAATCTCATTTTTATGTTTTTCGTTCTCCAACATGATGCGCTCGTAGAAGCGCGCCACAGAGCGCAGGGCCTTGGTCAAGGTGGTGGGCGACCAACGGAGCACCTCTTGAGCCTTCGCAATGCTCACTGGGCCGCGGAGGTTGTCCGGGTACCTCGGCCATGGCTGAAATGATGGGTTCATGTAAGTTATACCTGTATCTTCCAAAGGGCCTGAATTTCAGCCTGACCTCAAATATCAGCCTGCGGCGGAAACTGAAAACTCAGGCGGAAAGTGATTTTATCTATATTTTATCATATTTTGAGGTATTCTGATAAGATCCTGGTGGACGATCCAGGTGAAAAGAATGCTCTGCGGGTGATGTTCGTTGTTTTTTTATTCTGGTTTTTAATTTTTATTTTTTTTCGGGCGGAAACACCCACGAAACAGGCGAAAACACCCGAAATGAGATTTTCATGTAAAACAGTAAACTTCTTTAACACTGTTATCAACAATATATCAACAATATATAGTGTGAGCGGGCATCTTAACCAAACATCATCAAAATCACTAAACAACACAATCGGGCAGAAAAAAACACCACAGGCGAAAAAAATCAATTCGGGCTAAAATTTCAGCCTGAACAGCTTCGGGCTGAAAAACGGCCTGCGGAAGGCCTAGGTATAAGTTATATTAATATATGATTTATAAATATTTATAGAGTATCCTAAAATAGTTAATGATGTTGCATTAAATGATACATGTTAATATGTTTGGATCTGTTCATGCGCTTATATATCTAGTAATTCTTATAATTCATATGTTGGAAATGAATGGCAACGGTGTGAAATCAAGGGGTCCATCATGATCCATTCAATCCATTCAGTAAATTTTGACGTTTGAAAGCTCAAGGGTGCCACTTCGGTATGGTGATTGAGAGATGGCACAATGTGCACAAGGTTTGCTGTCCGCAGGAACAAGCACAAGGTGGCAAAAGGTGACAAGCTGTTGATATCTGTTGATTATTTTGGTTCTGACACTGGCTTAACTGCTTAACTGGCAGCTTATCAAACTGGAGACAGCAATCTATGCAAGCAATCTGGTCCAGGAACTACACAAGAAAGGGAAAACGTCCTTTCTTCCATTCTTCCCTCAAAACAAGTTCTGTAGGAGAATGAGCAGAACTGCAGGAGTGAGACACAGGAGTTGAGACTTTGAGATCAAGCAAACATTTCGGACTGTCAGTGCTTTGCCCCCCATCAAGCTGGATCATCGTGGTGTGAAAGAACGAGCTCGGGCTTTAGAACATCCAAGAAACAGAACAATGGAGGTGTTAGGCGAGGCATCTACAGTTTCCACGTAGGGCATGCCAACAGGTTCGCCAATGTAGTTGTACAAAACCTGAGTGGTTCTACGGGCCAAACAAGATCTGCTGAAGCTGGTCGTGACTGGGATGATGATCTATGCAATGGCTCATACATTTTGCAGGGGACTGAAGCCACCAACCAGAGAGATTGTGACTTTCCAGCAGGTTTCTTCATCCTGATCCCGCACTCGATGATGCTACATTTTAGATCACTTTAGAATGTTTTAGATATAAATTTAACATACCCTGGAGATTAGCAATTTGCAATCTTTTTGCAATGTATAATTTGTGTTTGTGGTTCTGCGGCTGGAGGTGCTGGAAGGATTGGAAATCCACAAGTGTTCCAATCCACCACCGCGGCACCGCGGTTCTTGTGGCGGTTGTCTCCACTATTACAAAAATGCCGGTGAATTATGGTCAAATCAGCTCAATCCCTCAACATCAAAACTGTGAACCGAGTTTTTTTAAACTGGTTTCGATTCCCCTTCTTTCACCCCACCTTTGGTTCTAAAGTGTCTAACATGCCCAATCCTTTCATTCCTTGACACACTTCTCCCATCAAATGGGGGATACCCTGAATCCTCTGGTTTAGCATCATCGTCCCCAACGACATTGTATATTGCGGATAACCAGTACCATTTCTGGACAAACCCATCTTAGATCTACTCTGTATAGTGTGTCCTACCGCATTATCTATCCTATTATGGATCATTTTGGATCATAGAGGTTGGTAAACATCCTCATTTCTCTTGGTTGACCAATGGAATTACGTAGCCCACAAATACTCCTAACATGCAATTAACCATCATTAACCCATACTATCAAATCAACATCTTTGATGTTAAATAAGTCACATGTTTGATCTTCACGTGTTTCACCCAGTTCTTCCCTCCATTTCCCATCCCAAAATATCCCAAATCCCTTCAAAAACAAGGGGCCCGCTGATCCGGCATCTCCTCACACGCCAGGTTGAAGGCCTCGCCGTGCACCTTCTCCGCACAGCAGGTCTCATTGAGACCTTTGGAGATCGCTAGGCGAACGGCCTTGGCACTGGAAGGTGGGCTGAAGCTCAGAAAAATCCTGAGAAAAGAAACAACAGGCAGAACAAAATGGATCTGAGTCATTCTGCGCATTCTGAATATAAATCCAAAAATATATTTTTATATATCACTTCAAGGGTTCTGCCGGGATTGAATGTGTTGCAAAAGAAACATAACCAATTGTTTGGATATCTTGGATTCCTGTACCAATTTCATCCATTTCATTGTTTGCTTTTGACACTGCTTCGCCCTTTCAGGAGCTCCATTTCGCGCGCCTGAGCGATGTCTGGGGTATATGTCAAACTGATGGGAAGCTCCTTCAAGCTGATGTCCAGGTGCAATGGCATTGTGAGGCCAACACAGGCCTTCACCCAAAGGTGGAGCAGCCTGATGCTGTGAAGAGCACAGCTATGCTTGGCTCGAGTTCTCGAAAATCAACTTGACACTGACATGAGCTGACGATCAGGATATCAGCATATCCAACATTAGAAGTACACAAACACAAAATCGACCCATTTTTTGAATTCAGGTGGTTTGGATTTCTTTCCAACAGCTCAGGAACCAATAGCGGATCGTGTTCTCCTTTGGGCCAAAGACGTTCGCCAACCGAAGAGTGACAAATGGAAAGCCACCAGCATTGTACTGCTTGAGCAATTCCTGCCGGTGAATGCTGACTTATTGTCATTCGCTCGGTTTCTGGCGAATTGCCTCTCTACCACAGTATGCAAGCAACATGTCCCAACTTTGAAGATGATTCAATTGTTGGCTCTATAATAGCTAGCGCTGTACAGTAGGCCATAGGCCAAGCCTTACAAGATCCACCAGGCCAAGCCCCTCCTCCTCACATTCCAAGTCGGTGTCGCCACGAACGCTCTTCTCTTTCAAAGCCCATCTGTCCATTGGTGAAATCTCTCTGCCAGGTCGGACCGCGTCCGATTCCAAGGAATACGGCTCTTGGTGCGTCTTGTTCTTTGAGACGTCATAAACCGCGTGAGAAGACCTGGGTGAGGAGCACGTTTCAAGAAACAAACTAAGATCAGCTAAGATCTACGGACTTTTTCGACTGGGGCTACGGACGATACAACGAGCCAGTTCAAACATAAAAACTTAGATGTTGCTGCCAATCATTAGGGCACTCCACACAGACAATGGGCTATTGGCTTGACTGATCGCATTATTAAGGGCACCAAAAAGTGAAGGGTTCAGGGTTCCATGGTAAACAAAATCAACATGTTGCACTAAAGTGGCAGAGAAGGATGCACATAAAAATGTAGAGAGACACTTTGTCACGCAGAACGCTAATCGCCTGCTTCATCTCTGCTAGGCTCCGGGTTGAAAAGTCAACCACAGCGTCGAAGGTAGCATTACCTTATCACCAAACACCACCAGGGACACAACATGACAAGATGCCACCCCGACTGACTGTGGACCGCTTTTGGACCAGTGACCAGCGTCAATCTACTCGTATTTCACCTTGTCTTCGCGAGCATCTTTGCCGCACTGCAATAAAAACCCCGTAGAGGCTAAAAAGGATTAGTCATTAAAAGTCAAAGAGCATCAACAAGCATCCTATTATTCGTATTAATTATGTCCAATGCCGAAAATGGTCCTGAAAAATTGTCTTCACAACATTTCACAACTTTCTTATGCAAGCATCCTGAAATCTAATCCGCTGTAATCAAAGCCGTCTAGTCGCTATCCACCAACTTGCTGCAGTTGACCAGACCGGACTGTGGCAAGATCCCACCACCATAATCCCGTGCCAGCGTTCGATTACACCTGCCGCTCAGGAACTGGCACTCTTTCAGCAATTAAAGAGACAATCGCACTCAATCAGAAAAGATCCGTAAAGTATCAGAAGCAGATAGAAGCAGTATCAGTAAAGCATTAAAGTATCTGACAGAAGGTACACCAACCCTGCCATTGATCCAAATGTGGCCCTGGGCTGCTGCCAGTTGGCCTCCAATGAGTGATGTGTGGTGCTAGCCGCTGGAAAATATCCCAGTAGCGAAAGCCGCGGCTGATCACTGTGACATTGTGGCCATCCTTCACCAGCTGTTCTGTGGTCAAATGTCCACGGAAGCCAGTTCCACCAAGCACCAATACCTCACCCATCGAAGCTGACACAGGCAGCTGCATCAGGTATCTGAGACATCATACTGATTCTCGTGCAAGGTTATGTGGAAGTCATGTACGTACATGTACATATTATATCATATTAGTATTAACGTGAAGAGCAACGCAATGTTCTGCAGTTGACATTTGAAAGGCGGCAAAATCCACTGGGCCGCCTTGCGTTGCCCTCTATATGTCTGTAGAAGCTGTAGAATCTTTTGAGCTGCTGCTTACAATCGCGGGAAAATAATGTTCTGGTCTGGGCACGAAACGGCTCAGCACATCAGTGCCCAAGCCAAGTAGCAGACCAACCATGGACTTCTTGACTCAGCAATGGCGTCAGAACCACCAAAGTCAAAGCACGGGAAAATGGACAGAAAAGGCCCACTCTGAAGCCATGGCGAAGCATGTTGCAGGTCAAAGGCTGATTGTCTACGCATGCATGTGAAGCATCATGAAGCAAGAGATGATTTTTCTTGGGTTTAACGAACATGAAATGTATATGACTGTATATGGGTATGAGTGATGCATTCGGGATGTCGCTGAGTACGAAAGACAATCGTGCTGCCGAAAGCGTGTGCCATGATCCAGATGCATTGGAGTCTTTGAGCAATTGGCATAGGGCCGGAGAGTCTGCGCATGTAAGCGAATTGGTTCCCAAGTGACAAAGCAATCGAAGCATATCAGTGTAAGCATCACATCATGGAAAAAATGCTGCCAGTCCACCGAACCCAGGAGATGTCGCCTGTGCACAGATCTGAGGATATCTGAGGCTCTTGCCTCTGTCCTGGCATCTGGAGCCAAAGAGCAAGCATCCTTGATGAGCTCCTCACGTTTTCCTCAAGGCCGACCACCCCAAAAGAATATGTTCACTTTACATTCTCTCTCCATCGACATCTGGTCCGTTTCTGGTGACCATATGTGACTATTGCTCTCCCCATCTGTCAAGAAATGAACGAAATAATTAAAGTGAAATCAATAGATGGCTAAAATAAGGACAACCTATAAGGGAGATATCAGGGAGATATTGGAGTGACCGCGGGCACATCATAACCCTGAATCCGAGTAGCCCATTTGTTCACCGGTGGCACCAGCTGGCCTGGAAGGTGGATGAGATTTGGCACCGCTGTGAACACGATTGACGATGAAAGCGCGGGAGAACGCTTGAAGTGACACACAAATCTATACGACATAATATCGATGATCTAGTAATATCATAACGCACACACACATCATTGGTATATATATATATGTGTGTATATAAATACATCTCAAAGTGACATATGAAGAACTCGCCACGTCTTCCGCGCACAGCTCTTTTTCAACCACCTACCAAAGTTCAGTCTGTTTCACCTGCTCTCCTCAGGTTTGCTTTGGATGTGTCACAATGTGACTCGCACATAGCCCCAGACCGAATCACCTCTGGTCAGCAACCTGGTCAACCCAGGTTGGGACCTGCCTTTGCAGGTATCACCCGTCCCTTAACCTAAGGGAGGGAAGTTTCTTTTGGTCGCCCCAAAAGAGTATCCCCGAAAGAGGCTATGTACTCGCCTGCCATGCAGGCTCCCCTAACCTAGGCGGACATCTCCACGGGAGGTCGGCTCTTAGGGTTGGGAGGGTGGGGAAAGAAACAGCAATGAATGCTATTTTGGCTCAGCTCCACTTGAGCCAAAATGAAAGCATTCATTGACTCACTTAAAGATGACACATGCACACCCAAGCCTGCCAAACTCAATGCATGAATACATCTCAAAGTGACATATGAAGAACTCACCACGTCTTCCGCGCACAGCTCTTTTTCAACCACCTACCAAAGTTCAGTCTGTTTCACCTGCTCTCCTCAGGTTTGCTTTGGATGTGTCACAATGTGACTCGCACATAGCCCCAGACCGAATCACCTCTGGTCAGCAACCTGGTCACCCCAGGTTGGGACCTGCCTTTGCAGGTATCACCCAATGCACTCAAACACCCAAAGCACTAGAGGAATTCAAAGGTGAGAATGACTGCAACGAATGGCAACTGGAAAAAGATTGTGGGGAGGTACGACGAATGAAAGCTAGATCCATGGCAGCGCCACCAAGTCGTCGGCCCAGTTGCTCTTGCTCTGGGCGTACTCCCAGTAGCCCTGGGCACGCAGTGCGAAGAGGGCCAAAGGAATCAGATGGCCTAGCTTTGCTAGGTCCGAATTGCTAGAACGTCCCCTCACTAAGGTCATGACTGCAGCCACAGCGTCGAGGAACCATAGACCGTGTCGATGGCGGAGAAGGCCAGGGCTCTCACTCAAGGTGTAAATTACCATGGAGAGCTCCAACTGCGCAATGTGGGTCTCTGCAGGCTGCCACAGGAATTGTAGTTCTTCGCAATTGGTAGCAACAAAACTGTAAATTCACGTTTTGGCTCGAAACGCATCACTGCTTCGATCACCTCGAAGCATTCTTCAATCTCTGAAGTCAAGCTGGTGACACTCTCGTCCTGGCAAGCCTTCACTGCCATAAGGTCACCATAGCCAACTCGCCCATAGATGCCCTGCTCCTCAAGTTTCCCGAAGTAAGAGCACCCGTACTTGGAAGCTGAAATTCGCTTAAAAGTTCGAGCCAGATTCATGGCAAGTGGAAGGCACCACCACGTAGGATCGCCCCCACGTGGGCCCCAAACCTATGTCACAAAAGCAAGTAAGGCCACATCAAGTAGGATTGCCTCCGGCTTGAAACCCAACCTGCTTACGACAGCAGAGGCCTACAGCCTTGTGGCCACTGCCTGGCAATGATCATGGGCAACCTGTGAACCTCAAGTAGCGTTCCCTCTACTTGGAACCTGGCTTGCTGGGGCAGGCAAAACTAACAGCCTCCAGCTCTGCTGAAAACGCAAACATGGGTGCCAGCAAGTAGGATGACCCCCACTTGGACTCCAAACCTGAATCACTAAGGCAATAAGGCCACACCAAGCAGGATCATCTCCTCCTTGAAACCCAACCAGCTTAAGCCCACAGCCCTGTGGGCACTGCCTGGCAATGCCCATGGGCAACCTGTGAACCTCAAGTAGCGTTACCTCTACTTGGAAACCTGGCTTGCTGGGGCAGTCAAAACCAACAGCCTCCAGCTCTACTGAGAACGTAAAAAAAAAGAAGAGAAAAAAAAAACGGGTGCCAACGAGTAGGACCCTCACTTGCCCCAAACCTACGTCACTGAAGCCAAGCAGAATATTTCCTGCTTGAAACCCAAACGGCTTGAGACAGCAGAGGCCCATATCTGTGAGCGCACTGCCGACACCCAGCTTGCTTGGGGGAGTCAAAACCAACAGCAGCCCACGCTGCTGAGATTGCAAAATCCAAGTTTCCAGAAGTAGGATCACCCCTACTTGGAAACTGAAATTCGCTGAAAATTCGAGCCATATTCATGGCAATTGCTAGGCACCCTCAGGTAGGATCACCCCCACTTGGATGCCGAACTTATGTCGCTAAAGCAAGTAGGGCTACACTAAGTAGGATTACCTCCTGCTTGAAACCCAACCAGCTTGAGACAGCAGAGGCTTACAGCCCTGTGGTCACTGCCTGGCAGTGCCGGTGGGCAAGCTGTGACCCTCAAGTAGCGTTACCTCTACTTGGAAACCCAGCTTGCTCGGGAAAAGTCAAAAACCAACAGCCTCCAGTTTACTGAATGCTCAGAACCTCAGGTGTCCCGAAGTAGGAGCACCCGTATTTGGGAGCTGAAATTCGCTTAAAAAATTCGAGCCAGGCTCCTGGCGGGTGTTGGGTACCACCACGTAGGATTGACCCCACTCGGATCCCAAACCTATGTCACAAAAGCAAGTAAGGCTACATCAAGCAGGAGTGCCTCCTGCTTGTAACCCAACCTGCTTAAGACAGCAGAGGCCCACAGCCCTGTAGTCACTGCCTGGCAATGCCCATGGGCCACCTGTGATCCTCAAGTAGCGCTACCTCTACTTAGAAACCCAGCTTGCTGGGGGCAGTCAGAACCAATAGCCTCCAGCTCTGCTGAAACCGCAAAAATCCAAGTTTCCAGAAGTAGGAACACCCCTACTTGGAAACCGAAATTCGCTTAAAAACTGGCGCTACATTCATGGCGAGCAGGATTACCTCCTGCTTGAAACCCAACCTGCTTAAGACAGCAGAGGCCCACATCTCTGTGCTCACTGCCGCCACCCAGCTTGCTTGGGGAAGTCAAAACCAACAGCCCCCAGCTCTGCTGAAATTGCAAAAATCCAGTTTCCAGAAGTAGGATCACCCCTATTTGGAAACTGAAATTCGCTTAAACAATTCAAGCCATATTCATGGCAACGGCTGGGCACCCTCAGGTAGGATCACCCCTACTTGGACGCCGAACCTATGTCGCTAAAGGAATTAGGGCCACACCAAGTAGGATTGCCTCCTGCTTGGAACCCAACCTGCTCAAGACAGCCCTGTGGTCACTGCCTGGCAGGGTCGATGGGCAACCTGGGCTTCTCAAGTAGCGTTGCCTCTACTTGGGAACCCAGCCTGCTTGGGGCAGTCAAAACCAACAGCCTCCAGCTCTGTTGAAATTGCAAAAACAAACCATGTTTCCAGAAGTAGGATCACCCCTGCTTGGAAACTCAAATTCGGTTGAACTTCAAGCCATATTCATGGCAAGTGTTGGGTACCCACCAGTAGGATCACCCCCAATAGGAAGGACCCTATGTCGCTAAAGCAATTAAGGCCACACCAAGTAGGATTGCCTCCTGCTTGGAACCCAACCTGCTTAAGACAGCAAAGGCCCACAACCCTGTAGTCACTGCCTGGCAGTGTCGATGGGGAACCTGTGAGCCTCAAGTAGCGGTGCCTCGACTTGGAGACCTAGCTGGCTTGGGGCAGCCAAAATCAACAGCCTTTAGCTCTGCGGAAATTGCAAGAATCCAGTTGCCAGAAGTAGGATTTCATAGCAGGTGTTGGGCACCCTCAAGTAGGACTACCCCCACTTGGACCCAAAACCTATGCCACTAAAGCAATAAGGCCACACCAAGTAGGGTTACCTCCTGCGTGGAACCCAACCTGCTTAAGACAGCAGAGGCCCACAACCCTCTGGTCACTGCCTGGCAGTGTCGATGGGCAACCTGTGGCCTTCAAGTAGCGTCACCTCTACTTGGAAACCCAGCCTCCTGGAGGGAAGTCAGACCCAACAACCTCCAGTTCTGCTGAATTTGCAAAAAAAAACAAGTGCCCAGAAGTAGGATCACCCCTACTTGGTAGCTGAAATTCGCTTAAAAATTCGAGCCAGATTCATGGCAAGTGCTGGGCACCAAAACGTAGGATCGCCCCCGCTTGGACCCCAAAACTATGTCACGAAAGCAAGTGCGGCCACACCAAGTAGGATTACCTCCTGCTTGAAACCCAACCTGCTTAAGACAGCGGAGGCCCACAGCCCTGTGGTCACT